ATCCAGGCGACGATGACGAAACGTCCTCGTTTGAGTCATTGAAGAAGCTGCTCCAGACACTGTTGGCCATATTAACCCCGTTAGGCGGACTAGCCCAGGGCGCGACTTGGGAATTGGTGCTCGAAGCGGTGGGGGGGTTTCGCGATATCGACGGCACTCGGCCTCCCGAAGTCTCCAAGACAGCCAGCTGTTTTCGGTGATGTCCAAGGGCGTTGGTCGTGGGGTTGTCCCAATTGGCAGGCTTGCGCGGTTTGTGCGAGGGGTCCTTTGGCGGAGGAGCTGGGGGGACGGTGCCAGGCGATATCTCGGACTCCCTGTCGACACTACATGAGGGTGTTAGCAGCGCTTCGTGTGGTGCAAAGAGTCGATGCACGTCTGGCAGTGAGACACTGCGAGACAAGGCTGGCCATTGTGCTCGCCATATGTCTCGCGCGTCATTTGGGGACTACGCGAGGGCTCCAGTCGAGGCGCACAGCGCGCGCAACCTCCCCACCACGGCGTCCAGCTCCTGCAGCAGCAGATGGAACAACGTACCGCGAATTGAGATTCTTGTCCGTTTTGACGGTGACGGGGGTGCCCCTCAGCGAGCCCGCACGTCCATAGGGCCGTATCGTGTCGCCGGAGCGCGAACTCCACGAGCTCTCCACCGATCCATGGCGGCCGATGGTCTCATTCCGCGTCATGGTCGCGGGCGGCGGGGGGCGTGCAGTGGACGAGTCGCGACAGTGGCCCGCGCGTCTGCGGCGGCGATAACAGCGTTTGGGCGGCGGCGGGGGGCAGGGTTGATGGGGACTGCTTGCGCAGAAAGGGCTGGGACGGCTACTTCATCGAGGCGGGACAGCAGCTGGAGGTGTGCAACATGGGCGGCGGTCGGCAGAAGGGCAGCAATGGAGGCAGGCGAAGCGAAGCGAGGCGGGCGATAGGTAGCTATCTAGCGGCGGCGGGCGTAGGGTGGGGGAGACAGCAGCACGAAGCGTCACAGGCGGGCGGGCGATGGGTCGTGGTTGTGGTTGTGGTTGTGAAGAATGGCTGACTACTCTCGACGACTCTGTGCTCTTCCTCTCTGATGGTGCATGGGCATGGGGGCTCCACTTTGGTATGGAGAGCGGCATCAAGCCTGTGCATCGAGCAACAATGCGCCACCTGCACCCACACCACAACCCACACAAGACGGCTAACCCAACCAGCTACCTACACACTACGGGGTCCTACCGAGCATCCGTCCTAGCAATCCCCTCCCCGGCCTAGAACACGAGCCCGAACCCGGAACTACCTGGGACCGCATGCAGTAATCTCAAGAACGACACTTTGGATACTTGCATCTGTTTGCAGCATACGCCCATTTCAGTGCCTCTGACAAGTGTCTAGCCGTCGCACCTCTTTCCCCCGCTTTTCAAAGCCACGGTTTGCTGCAACATCATCGTCATCGTCGGCCGTCATCCCTTCATCCATTCTATTGTACACAACCGCATTCATTCATCATCGGTGTCCCCTTGATGGCAGAACTAATTATCGATAGCTTGAGCCAAAAGCGAATCCGACTTTGTGGCGCAATTTGACACCATTTCTTATCCTTTGGCCCAAAACACCCTGTTTCATTATCCTCCGACGTCTAGGGTGTCTGTTGGCTAGGGCTAAGCACATGCCCATTTGCCGTATTGTCCGAGGCAACTCTTTCGTACTGCCGAACATCTACATGACATGCGCTTGCGTGTATTCTTACGCTGCTGCGCTCAGCGCTGACGTGATGAGAATATTGCTTCGACGGGGGCCAATAGGGCTCGCGTCAAGCCTTTGTGTTCCTACATTGCGAACATGTGTATTGTAAATGATTATCAAGGTGCCAGCCTGGGCATAGTCATATTACGTCCTTCATACCCATCCGAACTGCTTCTTTCGGCGACCGGATCGGATCATTTCACAACAGACCACTCATCGCAATGCATCTAATAAAGCAATCATTAAAGCTTATACGTCGCCCTGTCTATCTCACATTCCTCTTTCTGTAGTGACGCAGTAGATCTGCATTTCCGCATTTAGAGGGAGACCTGTATCCAGTACCAGAGGCATGCCTCGTCAAGCTGCCATGGCATGGCATCAAAACAGCTTTCACGTACCATGCCTCATACTGAAACAGAATAATCTTACAAAACACCTATCCGAATTGATCAACTGTCCTCGAGCCTACTGAGGTGCTCCACCGCCTTGAAGAGCTCGTAAAATATCTTGGAGAGACTGCGCTCCAGCTTGAGCATTGCCCTGTTGCGGAGGATTTGCAGGGGCTGCTGGCTGCCCATATTGCTGGTAAGGGTAAGAGTATTGCGCTTGTGACTGAGGTGGGGGTGGCGCAGGTGCTTGCGCTGGCATTTGCGGTTGTGGTGCCTGCTGCTGTCCGCTCATGGCTCCTACGACTTGGAACCACTGCGCCCACGCTGCCAGGTTGGCCGCCTGGTTCTGCTGTTGAGGTGGCTGGACTGGAGCCACTGATTGAGGTTGAGGGGTATACGACTGCTGGTAGTTGTATGCTGCTGGTGCCGGAGGCGCGGGAGCGGCAGCATATGGGACCGCTGGCTGTGATGGTCCGGAGAAGGGCACTGGCCAACCTGCATTACTGTTGTTTGCATAAGCGTTAGCGTTTGACGGCCCAGAAGGTGCTGGAGAAGCATGTTGTTGTTGCTGTTTCTGAGGCTGTTGCGGCTGCTGCTGCTGCTGTTGTTGTTGTTGCTGTTGTTGTGCCTGGCGCTCCCGTTCCCTCTTTTCACGCTGTCGTTGCTTGCGGTTCTTGTTCTTGCCGCCGCCTCCTCCTCCTGATGGGGACTGTTGAGGTTGGGCTTGCTGAGACTGGCTGCGGTCCTGCTGAGAGTGAGACTGGCTACGATCTTGTTGCTGGCGGGCTGGCGATGCCGAGTATTGATTCCTTTGTTGGTTGTTCTGTTGGCGATCGTTGAACTGGTCCTGTTGCCTGCCACGGTCAGATTGGTTCTTGCCACCACGCCCGCCCTTGTCACCACCGCCTCTGTTGTTCTGGTTGTTGTTGCTGTTGTTGTTGTTATTGTTATTGCCGGCTCCTCGGTTGTTTTGCTGCCCTCCGCCACCACGGCCTGCTCCAAAATCGCCTCGCCCGCCGCCGTAGCCTCCTCTGTCGCCGCGTCCGCCGCCGAAGTCGCCGCGACCACCACCACCACCACCTCGTCCACGGAAGCCGCGACCTCGATCACCCCAAGGTCCTCTGCCTCGACCCATGCCCCTTCGAACGTGGCTTCGGTCTTCTAGTGGCGCACCTTGACCAACGATTTGCTCGAAGTGGTCTGGTCGGGCAAGCGGCTTGTACATGCCTAAATCCTCGTCTTCATCGTCGCTGTATTTCAGACCACCACCCTGGTACTCCATGGGTCGGTAGATGGGTGGTGCGGGTGCGTCTACGTGTAATCTAGGCCCGGTAGGGATGTTGACAGCTACCTGTTCGTCGTTGCCGTCCGCCCTAGCGCGCTTCTTAGCCTTCTGTTCACGCTTGTATTCGGCCTCCTTCTCGTCATCTGAGAACTCGACATCGTTGGTCTCTTCGTCGTGGAGGTTCGATGCATCGGTATGCTTCTGTTGGCGGATGGGTTCCGTTTCGGTGAAGGTCGAGTGCTCATCCACATAGTAGATGGGCGTGTCTTTCTGAATACCTAGATTCTCAAGTTCAGCTGCGTCGTTAAAGCCGAAAGAGTAGCGAGGCTCCTCCACGCGGCCAATCTGCTCGGAGACCTTGCCGCAAACGGTACGATTTCCTAGACACAGTGCAGAGCCAGACTCAAGCACTTGTTCATCGCCAGACATATTGGCTTTGACGACGACGAGGTTTCCAACAATAGATTCCACCTTGCCGAGTTCTGTGATCTTGGTGTTTTCGGTGACTGTAATGTCCGGCATCTCGAATTTCTCGTCCTGTTCGTTGAGCGTCTTGACCTTGACTGGGCCTGAAGCGCCTGGCTCATCGGCAGCTTCAGCCATCAGAAGGCGGACCTGCTCTTCAGGGTCGAGAAGCTCGCCCTCGTCTGATCCCTCATCTGAGCTGTCGTCAGAGCTGGAGGAGTCCGAAGACGAGTCCGAGTCAGACGCATCCGAATCTAGCTGCCATTCGGCGTTCTGATCATTCCTGTTGGCTTCGGCGGCGCGCAAGAATTCGGCCTTGCTATCGAAAGCCGCGCCATCGGGTGCAGAAGCATCTTTGGGGGTGTCTTCAATCTCGTTCTGGAGGTCTATGGCGGCAGTAAGAGCCGCGTCGAGCTCACCATCCGTGTCAGCGGCTGGTGTGTCGGCAGCAGCAACAGCATCTTGGACAGAGGAGAGATGCGGCTCAGAGTGCTGTGGAGCCTCATCCTGCGCCTGACCCTGATTGGCTACGGGCGGCGCGACTGGGATGTCGGCCTGCGGATTCGCATCATGGTAAAAGGCCTCCTCATCTGAGAGCTCGCCGTCTTCAGGGGCGTCGTCTTGGACGACCGCGCCGCTCTGTGGTTGCGACTGCGCGACCGGGGTCTCGCTCACAGAGCCGAGTCCAGGAAGGTGAAAGGCTGGCGCGGGTGCCGCCGTAGCAAACAACGACGTCGTCCCGTCCACCGCAGTAGGCAGCGCAGAGGGCTTGACGGGTGTAGTGTCGTAAAAGTCGTCGTCCATGTCATCGACAGGCGAGCCAGGCGCGTCGAGCGCAGATGCAGATGTAGATGTGCCATAAAAGGGTGCGTCCGCCTCCAACCGCGCCCTTTTGGCCGGTGGTTCCAGAGAGTCGGACATTTTCGTGTCTCTCTCTGCAGTCTTCTCTGAATCACGCGTGATCGCTGCGATATATCAACTGCGTTGTTTGTACCAGTTTGCTTAAGTGCGTGCGATGATAGTTCTGGTTGAGAAGAGCACGTCCTGGGAGAACGTCGCCTTTTTGGATGCGCGCTAATAGGCTTGGCGGGCAGGCGCGAGCTCAGCCCTATGAAGCGCGAACCCATTACGCATTCGCGTCGTGTCAGTGAAAGTGCATTCTGTGTGCTTTCGATGGAGATTCGCCAGCGCCTTGGATTCGCCCTTTGCATGCCCAACTGCTGAAATGTCTACTACCCGCCCGAAGACGGCGCATCAGACGGCTGAGTTGGTTCACTTCTGCCCTTCTTGCAATTAGCTAGGCTAACGTATGCACCATGTATGTAGTGCACCGCCTCAGCTCTCTACCTTTGCAGTTTTCTGCGTATTCTCCTTCGCCAATCTCGTCGCTGCCGCATTCTCTCCGATCCAAGACTGCGACGAAGTCTTCAATTACTGGGAACCAAGCCACTACCTCAACCATGGCTACGGTCTCCAGACTTGGGAGTACTCTCCCGACTACGCCATCCGAAGTTGGGCCTATACTGCCATACACTCGCTTGTGATTGGGCTCGCGATGCTACCTATGCAGTCGCTAGGCTTGCAAAGATCCAAAGTCTTCGAGTTCTATTTCCTGCGAGCCGTTCTGGCGGTAGTCTGTGCAGCATGCCAGACTCGCATGTACACTGCTATTAGAAAGACGTTCGAGGTGCGGGTCGCATCGTTCTTTGCGATGATCATGGTTATAAGTCCGGGCATGTACCATGCTGCCCCTGCATACCTCCCGTCGAGTTTCGCCATGAATTGTGCAATGCTTGGATTTGCGTCTTTCATGGACTGGTCTAAAAGCACCATGAGGACTGCCCAGGGTATTACATGGTTCGCTGTAGGCAGTGCCCTGGGTTGGCCTTTTGCAGGCGCTCTCGCTCTGCCATTCATTGCAGAAGACGTCATTGCGGGCCTATTCACTGGCACAATTCTAGAAAGTTTGCGGAGAGTACTACTCAATGGCGCGAGCAGAGCACTCGTCGTTGTACTCTTACAAACCGTCATCGACTCGCTCTTCTACAGGAAGCTCGTGTGCGTGCCACTGAACATTGTACTTTACAACGTCTTCAGTGGGGGTAGCAGAGGCCCTGATATCTATGGCGTGGAGCCATGGCACTTCTACGTTCGCAACCTGGCCCTGAACTTTAACATATGGTTCTTTCTTGCGTTGGCTGCTCTACCACTACTACTTATCCAGTATCTTGTCTTTGACCGGGCTGTTTATCGCAGCACGCTCACCAGATCTATCACTTTCGTCAGCCCATTTTACTTATGGTTAACGATATTCACGGTCCAGCCTCACAAAGAAGAGAGATTTATGTACCCTGCATACCCAGCCCTAGCCTGGAACGCAGCCCTCTCCTTGCACATCTTGCTAGCCAACTTTGGCTCGATGGACCCACGACGTCTAGTAAGCAAGATACCTCCGATGGTGAAGCTTGTCATTGTCTGTATACCTGTGCTTCTGTCTTTAAACCTGGGCATTCTAAGGATCAACGGTATGTTATAAGCACCTTTCTCTCCAACTACCGCCATGCATCAGAATATATCAAACACTTTGAGATGTAGTGTTGACCTATTTCTAGGCCACATGTCCGCATACTCAGCACCACTGAAAGTTTACAAGCCATTGTTCGACCCGGCAGTCGCCCATCCAGGAGACACTGTGTGTCTAGGGAAGGAGTGGTATCGCTTTCCGTCTTCGTTCAACTTACCTCAGGGAGTTCGTGCCAAATTTATCAAGAGCGAATTCTCCGGTCTTCTGCCAGGCGAGTTCAGCGAGGCTGACGCCGCTCTCGGAATGTTCCCTGGCACATGGTTGGTCCCGTCTGGAATGAACGACGAAAACTTGGAAGATCCTAGCAAATATGTAGGTGAAGCTGGCATGCACAAACATGATGTCTACTAACTGTGATAAAATAGACCAACATCGACCAGTGCGACTTTATTGTTGACTCGCGCTCTGCTGGAGCTCCTCCAACATCCCTCGAGCCTGATTATGTCTCCAATACAGAAGAATGGGAGGCCTTGAAATGTCTTCCTTTCCTGGACGCAAGCAAGACACATACTATTAGTCGCATGCTTTGGGTCCCAGATCTACCCGTGATCCCGGCTAAGTTCCGCCGCCAATGGGGCGATTACTGCCTGTTGCAACGCAGGGGTCAAAAGAGCGCATAGCATAGATGTGGTACTGCGGGTCGTCTGATATAATGTGTAGTCAATTAGGTCCTGTTAGATAGAGGAGCAAGGGACAAGAAGGCAACTCTTCTTGCCGAATGCCGACGCGCTCCAACTTGACCAGACGCACTCGACAGCCGTTACATTCCCTGATCACCTTACCCACAGGGTACGAGGAAGCTCGGTCCTGTTATCGAGGGTGACGACCAGCTCTGTTCGGTGCTTCGCGTCGATAGACACCAAGTCTAACCGAGTGGGGTATTGCTTTCCCCGCCTAGACTGGGAGATAACCACCACTGACGACACATGCGCGACAACCCCACACTGTCATGGGTCGTTATCGCAGGAATTCATTGGCTTGTATATATGCTGAAACAATAAAAGGAAGCTATTTTACACACCTCGCATGATGAACGCGACTGCGGGATATTGCTGCTTTGGTTTATTATCGATTCGCATGATCAGGCATTTACTCATATAGCCAACGTCTCGTCTTTCCTTTCTAGATGACCATGTCTCGGTAATATTGTTGCCCTGATGTCTGCAATGTCCGACCTTGTCACCAGATTCGAAGAGCACATAACACGTCTCGCACGTGATGCACAACACCACTGCACCACCATACAAACCCATTTCAACACTTTACTCAAGGATGTCAACATACAGCCGAAAGCAGCTCTCTACGCAGCTCTTTTCTTCGTAACATTTACATGGCTCGCCATAACCCTTAGCCGCCTCCTTCTTACCCGTCGACATCCTACCTCTCGACCCAGCACGCCGAATCTCGAGAAACGTTCCCCGTTCAAAGCTCCAGATAGGCCACCTGGAGGTATGTCCATTCCAATCAAGTCTATTTCTCAGTCCTTCTTCCCACCTCCCCTCGTTCTTACCCAAACTAATACTGCACCTCGAATCTAGTATGGCACCCATCCCCATTCACCCGCCCCACGGCATCCCCTTACCCAAATTGGTCCCTATCAACAACAAAACCTCTACCTTATCGTCCCTTCCGCTACGGCCCCAAATACAACATCACAATGGGCCTACGCAACATGTCGTGGGACGAATGGATTGAACTCGATAACGAATACACATCTTACCACTCCCTCAAAGCAGCCAGGATAGCCGAGAGAGGAGAAAAATGTATCAAGACGGCTCCTGAAGCGACGAGTGCGGCAAAGGAGTTGTTGGAGGAGTTGGTTGATTACTTGCCACAGCGGTATCCGAGATTGTTCCAAGAGATGAAGGTGGGGAAGGGGAAAGGAATGAAGAATCTAGAGACAGGTGAGGTTTTTGATGTGGAGGGGTGTGCGAGAAATGGGGAGAGGGAGGATCCGATGGAGATGTGTGCTAGGATGATTCAAGATGATCTTGCTATCATGGTTGAGAAGGAGGATGGGCAGTACTATTTGCTTGCTGGTGCTATCTTGCTGGCGGGATTTTGGAGGTTGGAGGATAAGTTTGGGATGCCGCTTTCTACCATTCATACGAGTGGGGACGTTCCGGGGTGAGCCTTCCCAGTCGATTTTCACCATTGCTCTCTTGATGAAGATACGTTTGCTAACAAATCTCGCAGGTTCAAAGACAAACTCGAGAAACCAATGTCCAATTTCTTCCGCAGAATACAACCACAGTCACCTGTTCTACGGAACAACTACTTCATTCAAGTCGATGACAAACTAGCCTGGAGCGAGAGTATAGGCAGTGAAGATGCGAAAGAAGATGGAGGCATTGGGTGGTTTACAGCAGAGAAGAACAAGGCCGTTGAGCATCATTGGTTCAGGAGTGAGAGGCAGAGTTTACGGAGGTATGTTACTGCTGCCCTACTACCCCTACCTGTTCCGGTGTCCATAGAGTAAAGCTTCTAACGTTGCTTCCTCAGGTTGCCTAAATCTGGTGGTGTGGTATTTACGATTCGAACTTACTTCCATCCCATCACGGATATCGCGCAGGAACCCTATGTGCCTGGCCGACTAGCCAGCGCGATTCGTTCTTGGGGTGAGGATGTGAGTCGCTATAAGGGGAAGGAGATGTATGGGGATGTATTGCTGGAGTATCTGGAAAAGAAACACGCAGAGCAGGTGGAAGGAGGGCTGGACGTTGATGGGGAGGAAGATGTTGCAAGGGGTTATCCGTTTTGATCAGGGCGTATTTCGGGATGAAGGTGTTCAGCAAAGGGAGTTTTCTCCATTGAATATGTGAAAAATTATTCTTGCTCAATCAGGAACTGTCACCGATCTCGTTACAAGGGCCGTGTATCGCTGATCCAATATCTAGGCGATTTGCATGCTTATATCGTACCTTCTCAGATCATTTAGTGCAGGCCCGACCCTTTTCTGACGCTAGTAGTCGGGCCGGATGCGTGAGGCGAAGTCGGGGTCTGCAAGTCGTGCCGAATATAGAAGTTGTGCTGTGCATCAGGCAGTTCTTCGGTCGGCGACGTACTAGGCCATCTCTGTACTTGTCGTTTAAGCACTCTGGCTGGTTTGCTCGGGATGGGTCGGCACGAGCTAGGTGTACCGGCGCAGGTTTTTATGTAGGCAGAATTAGTGTGTGAGCATTTCTGAATTCTTACAGGTGTCAAGCAGCGGTGGCCAGATGCAGAACGATGGGGTTGTACCATGGTTGATGTCGTGCAGTAGCTCGCGGTTTGATGGGCATCCGGGGTGTTGCGCTTGTGGAATTGCTGCCTGACGCAAAGGGCCATGATAATGTACGTGGTTATGCTGGTCGAGTCAGCTTGGACCGTTGACTGCTCGAACCAGTGGGCATTAAATTGCGGCAGCCGTTTGTATAATGGTAGGCCTGTTTCATAGTAGTGCTGTCATGACGTTGCGCAGGGTCGGAAATGAGCCGAGGTGGTGTTTGCGGGATGCTAGGGGATTGCGATAGAAGGGAAACACTTGTTTAGCGAGATGATGAGGGCGGCCAATGGTTGCTTTGGATCGCCAGGGAGCAAAAGTACCGATGCAATGGCAAATCGCGGCACTGAATGTATGTGTGTTCATCTGGAAACGGCAGTACCCTTGTACAGGATGCCGGATGGACGTGTGTTTATTGACTGTTGTATGCGTTGTTGTTGTTTTGCAATCTTGCGCTGTCACGCTCCTCGGGGGATTAGATGCCCGTTGCGAATACGACCAAGATAAGTGGGAGGCACCTTGACCTCGCGGATGCGTTAGTCGTCACGGGTGAACCTTAAACCTCACGTGGGCTGGGAGACTATAGCCCGGCTCCCGACGTAATAGCGCAGTAGTGCTTGCTAGATCTTAGAGGTGCAGCTGGCGAGTGGCCGACAGAAGCGTGTGGCTGTGAGGCGAAGGCGGGCAGTTCGCATGACGGGGAGTGGAAAAAGCAGTTCGCATCTGCACAGCAAAGCGGGTTCCTGTGCGTGCCAGTGCATGTCAGCATGTGTAAACCTGTAATGGCAATGCAATTCCCTGTAGAGCAGGCGGAGCACCGGAGTGAAGCGAGGACAGATTAGCCCGGCCAGGCCTGGGTCAATGCATAGCGGCGTTCAGCCCAAGCGACACGGGCGCTGACTGGTGAATTGCGTCGTCTGGCGCGCCGCTGGGCGATGTGACAGGGCTGCACATCAATCAACTCTAGTCGATTCCCTCTTGTCCTGTCTTGTAATTAAGAAGTCTGCACAGTCGAGTCGCTGCTGGCCATGCTTCGTTCACGTACTCGCTGACGCCGGCAAACCTCGTCGAATTGCTGCGCGCTGAACTATGGGGGAGGATGGCCTTATCGGCAATGCAACAGAATGTCTTCCCTGCGCCGGGCTCCCCTGCCGAAGGGAAACGCGATATTTTGCCCGGTGCAGGTGCAGGTGCAGTTACGGCAAAACGGCGCGCTGACGACACGCGCCGTCTGCGAAGAGTGAAGGACTCGAGGGAGCAACTCAAGAGCAGGACGAGGGCACGCGGCACCAGCAACGCCACCATCGACACGACGACGAGTAACTCGACCTCGGCCGGACGGAGCTATACCGTGGCCAATGTTCACAACGGCGTCATCTACCTGAGGTACGCACCAACTTGATATCTCGAGATTGCCATGGTGTTGGTGGTGGGACGAGTCTGTCCCAGCAAACATCATGGACGTATGAGGAAGGAGCGATACGTGAGCGACACCACAAGGAAGGCGCACGTCATGTCTCGCCTCTTGCCTCCTCCCTCCCTCCATCTTTCACATACTTAAATCCCTCGTGTATAGAATCTAACTCTCTCAGACCCGTAGCCCGTCCTGGTAACCAGCGCGGCCGTCAACCAGATCCCTTCGTCTTTCCGCCCCAGACGCCGCCCGACAGCGCAACCCTCGACAAGCTCCGCCCGACCAGCAATGAATGGGAGCAGAGTCTGTACGGCTCAAGGACACCCCACTCTGAACCTACGCCACCGCTGCCAGACCTGAACGAGGGCAATGCCTTCCAGCAGCAACCCCAGGCAGATCCCACCACTGGACGACTCGCACACGTGCGCTCGCATTCATTCTCTACCGTTGACGACCACACTGCCACGACGCTGAGCCACGAGCCAGGCACCTTCAAAGTTGTCATTGAAAGGCCCTCGCATATGCGCCCCAAGACCGCAGACACATCGTCATTCCCGCTGTTGCAGGTTCCCATCCCGCATTACCGCTTGGGCACTCCGCGTTTCAGCACACGAGGGACGGCAGACCTGCGCAGTTCAGTCTACACCCGAACCTCAGGCACCGAGGACTTTGCCAATTCGCTCCTGACCCCACAGCGAGGGGTGCGGCAGTCGTTTCTGTCGTCGCGCCCACGTTCAGACGCCTATTCGCCTGTCCCCCACCGCTTCCGCGCCACTATGGACCGCCCAGCTGTACCCCTCTCCGGTCCCTCTTCAGCTCGTGTCTCGCACATGCCTATTAGCCCCCGACTCTACGATGCCCTTACAATCAACCCCGACGACCGCGCTGTGGTGCGCTTCAACGCCGAGGGTGAGATTCTCGCAGCCACCCCTTCACGACTTGTAGCGCATATAACTTCTCCAAGCTTCCTGGATTACGAACTCCTATCCGACTTCTTTCTGACTTTCCGCGCCTTTCTGTGTACCCGAGACCTTGTCGCATACCTCATATCTCGACTACGATGGGCCGTCGATCGCCAAGACGACTTCGGGCGCATCGTCCGCGTGCGGACTTTTGTAGCCCTTCGCCATTGGATTCTAAACTACTTCGTCGACGATTTCATGCCGTATTACTCTTTACGAACTAATTTCTGCGACCTTGTCAACAGCCTGTACAGGGATCTCCGAGCTCGAGAGGATGGAGGTGGGGGCGACATCAAGATTGTCGGGGAATTGAAGAAGTGCTGGAGGCGGACGTGTGCGCTATACTGGGAGACCGAAGATATTATCGGCCAAAACTATGCCGACGACGAGCTGCTTCCGGGCGGATACGATGGCTCACAAGCAGCATATGAGGAGCCCCCTCCGGTTGTTCCAGTACCAAGCACGCCTCCACGAACCAATGTCCGGGACACCAAGGAAACTATCGGCTCAAACCCAAGTGACCATTTTGCTAGTCGGCATATGGATTGGGCGCAAAGAGCACGCCATACGCCTCAGAACTCCATGAGCTCACCCTACATACCATCACAAGAATTCGAAGCCGCGCCCACGCAAATACCCCTATCGCCCGCCAGCGAGCAGAGTATGCACGTCCTTTCCTGTTCTATACCCATGCGAGGTCTGAACAAACATGACCAGGCGGTCGAGCTTCCCTTGTATCCTCATCCAGTACCGGTCGCCAACCCAGTCCCCACTGGTACTGCTCGCTTGACAGCCAGTCCACAACAGCCAGCATCCATTAAGAGCGTCCACCGCCCGTCGCATGGTCACAAGCGTAGTGGGAGCTTTTCAGACGCTCTCAGAGACAGCAGAGCTCCGCTGTCCATCCCCAAGAACGCACCCGCGGACTATGCTATGTCAGCTGTCATGAATATGCCTGGCACTCTAGTACGCGGTGGACTCTTCCAACCCAGCTCACCATATTTCGAAGTCAGAGCTATACGTCCTTCGCGCTCTCAGTACCTTCAAGACATTGAGGATGCTGAAGTAAATGAGTTTCAAAGACCAGGACATGCCACCGCCCATTCCCCAGGCATGAAGAAGATCTTCGGCAGTGTACGTCGCGCACTAAGCACACGACAGCAATTGAGCCCAAGTCCCCAATTAGGTAGCGTTAGCCAACAGCGCCAGCCGTCATACATGCGAGCCTCCAACCCAGGTGCAGCATCAGCCGTCTCAGTTTCAGGCGGTGTACACAAACGACGTCCTGCTCGACCGAGACCGCAGGTGCGTATTGATGTTCTGGCTGCTACGGTTGCAGAGAGCTTTCGAGCTGCAGTTCAGGAGCAGCTCGAAAACGAAAGCCATGAATACCATGGTATCGACCCTCCTGATCTTGGGGGATTCGAGTTTGAGTTCGATAGCCGTGGTACACCAAACCCGAATGAGCACCAGAGGGCACCTGATGCCCGCGTACACAGCGCCATTACTAGTGGCAGCAAGTCGATTCTGATTATCGACGATACTGGTCCGCCACCTTTACCTGTCATGTCGGATACCCTACCACCCGATCTTGAGAAGGAGCCTACAAAGCTAGACAGCCATCAGCAAGAGGAAACACTTGACGAGAACCTAGCTGGCGAAGCCGCTCCATCAGTACACAACTCTGATCTCTACGACTACCCAGAGCCTCGCTCAGCGCCGCCAGAGTATCGCACCTCGCGCATGTCGACTCGACGGCCTCCGACGAGACAAAGAAGGTCCATCTCTGCAGGTCCAGCAAGGATGCATTCCTTCCGGCGCCGGGGCTCTACCAAGACCTCCCTTTCTCTCCGTCGACATGCATCCTATAACAGCGTGCTTAGCAGGCGTCAAGGACCTGCCAGCATTGCGACATTCCAAACGATGTCATCAGAAAACGATCCCTTCTTCCTCGAACGTCAGGCAGCACCTGAAGCTAGTGGGCCCGCCCGCCAGCTTCGTAGAAGACCAGGTGGTGACCTCCGCGCTGCAGGCAACGTTCACGATCTTGAGACTTTGCAGCGGCCACATTCCACCGGTTCTGTTTCCAATCGCACACACTCAGTGACAAACTCTGTCATCCTACGGTCTGATCGCTTTATCGATTCAGAGACAGAAGTCAATCGTGTTTTGGAAGGGCCAGCTGAAGCTGAAGTCCCAAAGAAGCCAATTTCGTTAGTAGATACACACTCCTCACAGCCCAACCTGAGACCTTCTTTCGAAGCTGAAGTAGCAAAGCTTGCTGCTCTGCCTGACGATACGGACGATGAAGGCGGTGTCGAATCGGCCCTAATGAAACTGGAAGGGCGTTATGAGAAGAAGTCGCCTAGCATCCCCTCCCAACGAACCACTGTTGATCTGGATTACTATCGCCCCACAGGAGCTTCTGAACAAAATACCCGACCTGATACCTATGAGCAGGATGTTGAGCAACATGAGCGTCCTGGAACTGACGACGTTTTCCACCGTCCACTGGCTCCTCCAGAAACAGACGGGCAAGGCATATATCGCCTGTCTGCCGAGAACTTCAATAGCCGCGCACCTGCGGTTCAGTCAGTGGGCGAGTCAACCGACTCTTATTCCTCGATACCACTTCTCGATCGGCGCTTGAGCGAAATCGCAACCTCTCAGCGAGGGCATACGCTCGACACCATGAGGTCTTCTGCCAAGCCATCACCTCTGCAATTTGCTAGCAACTCACCCGAGCCTGCTCGCGCCCCAGGGACATCTTCCTCGATGGATTCATCTGTTGATTACATCGT